GTCCTCTGTTTATACACATGCACAGATGTTGATTAAAGTCATCTTTGGGCTATATATTGTTGGCTGGTAATAAAAATAAAATGTGTATTTAAAGGGTAGCGCTTATTAATTAATGCATGTTCCTGTATCTCACCCAGTTGGTTAAAGTGTGTGTCGATGCCATGAGGTCCAGGCACAGAACACACCAGTCTGGCTTTGTTGAACGTGCTCCACTTGTTCACCAGCACTCTCTGGCCTCCAACATCATTCTGGGAAAAAAAAGGAGGATAAAAATCTATAAAACACAGACAGCTGTAGCTCTGCATTCATATTTACACTCTCATTATGTTTTTGGCTCGGGATTCCAGCACCTTGGATTTCGATGGGATCAGTAAGTGGATCAGTAAGTGGATCGGTCTTGGAGTTTTTGGCTACGCCGTGTTTTATATCCATATAAAGCTGGACATAATTCTGTAACGTTCACTGCAGTCTTCTGCAATAAATCCTATTTTGAGCCAAACTGAATTTAGACAACAGCTCATGTGTGTGCGAGCAAAGTGCATGTTGGGAAAAATGAGTGACAGATGCTGGAATAGGTAAAAAAAAAATAGATGGAAGAAGCAATCACTAAGAAGAATAATCTTTTAAAACTTTAGTAAACATTTCTGGCACATTCATTCAGTGAGAAAAAAATCATCAAACTGCTTATTTGAAGTACACCTACAGTACAGTACTGCATATGTATGTATGTGTGTACACGCATGTGGTTTTGGAATCAATGCACACAGGAATATGCTCAGCAGATGGGAATCAAGGTTGGGAAACCATGTTAGCTGTTGTGCCTCTGGACAAACAAAAGAGTCCCGTAATTCTTGATATGACGTCTTTACAGGCTTTAGGGAAAATGTGCGTATAAAAAATGTATTTTTTCCATATGAGGGGATTAGAGATCCAAAAATCGAAGGATAAACGTCAAACATTTACCACCTGTCTGTGGTTACTGAAATTCTACAGCTTATTACATATGACTTTCTAATTAAATTTTCTTGAATCTAATTTAGTCTCTGATTGGGTCAGGAGTTCTTTCACGGTCCTTTTTGGACTTACACAAACCTACACACACGAGAAAAATTGCTTTTTTTGACTAAATCGTACAGATTCTACTTCAAATACACAGTAATATGATCAGTTGTACACTGGGACATCTCACAGCGCCTTACCGCACACACTCGCCCCACTCGTGAGTGTATGGCCCCCTCTCTGTCTCCTGCCTCTGTGGCTTTCTCAGTGAAGAAGAAATAGACTTTATCGTCGTCTCTGTCGTCGTTGTCTGGGATCAGATGAGCGGCAATGAACTTGGGGTCTGCAGGAGATAAAAGTCAGGATAAACAATATGCAAACGGTGGAGTGTAAACAGAGACGGAGAAATATGGGACAACTCCCTGAAAGACATGAGCAGCATGTAGAGAAAACGTGTCGGAATAAGACTCTGTTCTAAACTAGTTCTTATTCATAATATTTTACTACCGTGGAGAAGTTTCTCGTCAGTCTCAGTTTTTATGGTGGCACGACCGCCCATACTTCTGAGGATCACAGAGTCTCTTCCTAGGAAATCTGCAGTCAAACCTGTGTACAGCTCTCCGCCTGAGGATGAGGAAAAAGACAAAGGGAGATCAGATATTAGACAAACGATAGACACTGGGGTTGAACAGTTCTTGGTCACAGCAAAGCAAATAAAACAGGAAAAGTGGCATTAAAAAAATCTGGAAAAGCAGTTTGCCCCAAGAAGAAGTTACTGTCACAACTGTCGTGTGGAATTCTGATGGATTTGTTATAAAACTGTCTGTTTTTTACCAAGACTTTGAACTCATTGTTGAGGCCAAAGTGACAGGTGGCTCCACTGTGGGCTTAAGGGTAGAAATTAGGTGTTAAATATATAAATATATGATATATATAAATTTAGATATATGTATACAATATTGGATATGGATATAAGTCTTGAATGTAATGCATGAATGTAACCTCTGACGTGTTGATAGAGTTTTGTCATTGTCCTCTCTCTCTCTCTCTCTCTCTCTCATTCGTTCCATCATTGCAAGCTGTTAATCCTCGACAGTAAAATCCATAAATGGTCAGGGTCATGTCAGGCCTCCAGCAGTAGGTCATATTCAAGGACAGCCTTGTTAGCACTCCTCCACTAATGTTACTAAACCCTGCTGACTCTGCCCTTTAGACCTCCACACTTTGGCAACTGTAACACTTCAGTATGTGCAGGTGAACATTAGATGCATTAGATCTAACCTGAGCGTGTGTGTGTGGTGTGGTGTGTGTGTGTGCAAAGCTGCGTCCCAGCAGCATCCATCACAGCTTTTATGAATTATTCTTTACTTATTTGGACACTGTATTTCTCCACACTGAGACTTATTGGCTTTAAATCAGTCTTTCCTGCCAAATATAATGGAGAGGGATAAAATGTGATCATGTCACCCAGCTGCAGAGGGAACGGGGAACGGAGCACGCACATGCAGATTCTGCAGAGTTAAATATGTTGAATAGTTCTGGGTGTTTCTCCCTGAATGTCACTGGGAATTTGGCTCATGATTCCGTGCTGATTTATTAGAGGTAACGTACTCCTCGTGTGTGTGGGTCGGTGTGTGTGTGCATGTGTGTCTTTTTTGCTTTACTTTTGTACCATACCTTCATCGTGAGGACACCTTCCATTTGTGAGAAAATAAAGGTCCAAACTAATTTAGATGGCGATTTGAGGTTTAAGGCTAATGTTAGCATTAGGCTATGGTTTAAGATTAAGCCTATATTTGAATTGATTATGTTTACTGCAAAAGGCTAGGAACTAATGTGTGTGCATGTCTATCTGTCCACTGAAACGTTCTTGGCATTAGTTGAAATGTTAAATCCCTCACACATGTCCCCGGTAACATCGATATTCAAACATTCCATTTTTATTTATCATAGTAAAGTGTTGGATAAAAACAAATCATAAAAGAGGAAGTTGATGTTCCATCTTCATCAGAGCAAGAATGACTTTGTAAAGAGAGCGTAGATTACGATGAGTATTAGGGCCACATTAAAAAAAAAACGTGACTCAATTATGAGATTAAAGTCATCTACTTCTCCTTATTTTTTCAGTTCAGTTCATAGGACATTTTAGGAAAATATATTAATACATGAAAAAAAATTGTCGTACCAATGAAAGTGCTGGCAAAGGGCACGCTGGGGTCATGAGGGACTTTTCCACGTCCATTTTCCACACTCATAGGATCCATTGTGAACACATGCTGGGAAACAGAAAACAAAGGTATTAACTGTAAATAATAACACGTTATAATAATTACAATAAATATATAACATTATATATAACATGTTTGTTTCATGAAATTAATGTCCTCTCTGCACAGTATATTTCTACTGCAATAAAAAAAAATCAAAACATGTCAACAAATCTGCAAGTAGTTTGATTCCAACATCCTGACCAGACCTGCTCCACCGCTGTGTCCAACACAGCCTCGTCCTCCAGTGTATTCACTAACTTCCATTTCTAAAAACTGTAACTGTTTAAATTTAAAAAGTTTCACAGCTATTGTGTTCCTAATTTTACTTCAAACTGTCAACTGCAACAACTGCATGTCAACATGTATTACATGAAAGTTTTGCTCCCTGGGGTTCCTGACCTACTCCATCAGACCCAGTTAAAGAGGTTCCTTCGAAGGTCTTTCAGCACTGGCAGCTGAAACTCGAGGACCTCAAGGAAAGATGATGTTTTTATTTCTATTTTACTTGTTACCACTAGGGAACGTTACATTCATACATTCTAATGCTTTGACTTAATATTTTCATAATATTAGTGTACTTATCACAGAGCTGGAGCAGTTGGCAGTCGACCAATGAATGAGGGAAGTTTGGAGGACATTTGTCTTATTTAAGTGTTTCTGTTTGTACACATGGTTTTAGATGACTGCACATCAGAGGCTCTGTCCGATTGTTCATATTTAGAAGAGAGGCGTTTTGCTTCAAACATTTGTCCTTCCTCTGAACCCTGTGTCTGTCAGTGATGAGACATTGTCTGAGAAACCAGGAAATGCAGGATCAGACTACAGTTTCCAGGCTCCAGACTAGTTTCCCACCCAGTTCCCACATCGTCCCACCCGGAGAGGAGAGCATTAAGCAGCTATCAGGATAATGAATTAAAACAAGCATCCGTCAAAGTCTGGAAGTCTCACTTTTGAACATTCAACAGAAAATATTGTTGTTTGTTGACTTTAGTCACTCGACTAAATGACGTTCCACTCAACACATGACAAAAAGACTTTTATTATTATGTTTTGTAGTGACTCTAGGGCAGGGGTCCCAACCTTTAATGAGCTTGGGGCCACTGTTGCCCCCCAGCCTCTGTGAAGGGCCAAAAACTAAAACTAAAAACGAGATAAAAAAATCAAAACAATTTTATGAATCACCACTTTTCTGGTACCACTATTTCTAGAAAGGATATTATGATATAATTCTGTATTTTTTTTCCATATCCTGGGATTGTTTGACTCTTCAGGTCAAGGCTGGGTTGGCGTGACAAAAAAGCCTTTCTTCTTTGCCTTTTTATTTCTACTTTTTCTGAACATCTATCAGTCTCTGACAGATCGTTGTCAACTTTCCAATATAAAAAGGGAAAAAAGGGAGGCAACAGGATCTGCAGTCTGTCCTGCTGTGTGAATACAGTTCATAATGACTCTAGTGTCCTTACAGTGAACTCTGTGTGTCTGAGACACAGTTCCGGCAATAGACAATGGAACATTGTGATTGGACAGCTGTGGCTTCATCATAGCAAGAACAGAGAGGACATGATGACTCTGACGTCATCAAGACAAAAGAATACTCCAAAATCACATACAGTCACGCATACTATTCTTTTGTTCCCGCTATAAGACCCCTGACTGGTGACAGGTAGCCTCCAGAAAGTACACAAAGCCATAGGTTTATCAAAAATAATAATAATACGAATAAAACATTAATGCAAACATATGATTTAAAGGACCCAAAACCATTATACTATCAGTCTTATACCCATAATATGTATATATACACATATGTATATACACTGCATTTATATATATGTATATGTATATATGTATGACAACAATTGGCCTTGTTCTGAAAAAGAAACCCTCTATATTAATCACACCAGCAGTTAAGCTAATATTGTTTAGCATGTTGTGTAGCTAAGCTAACAAAACATGTCGAGTGTTATTGGTTATAAACATACATTTTTGTTTAAAATGTTGATTAAAAAAAGATGTACACTGTTGTAATGAGTTACACTTTAACATATTAACATTTGTGTTTCAGTTATGTGTGTTATTGAACAAATAGGAGGAGTGTATTTTAATGACCACGTCACCTCTTCCATTTCTATCATTTTATTTTCCTCCACCCTGTGCTTTTTTTATTTCAACCTCTGACAGAGTTGTGCTTAAGTCAGTCATCTGTCATCCGTTTCTCTTCAGCAACTCTCTGTTGTCTCGATGCCAGAGTTTATGTTTCTGCATCACTGCATTTTGTCTTATCAATATTAACGTTATTGTCTGAGTCACTTTGGTCAGTTATTGCCAAGATAAATACACAGTAGAACTGAGAGAGAGCAAGAGGGGGGTGGGAACTGAATGTTTTTTGCCATTATTTTACTGTTTTAGCTGAATACTTGTACTGTGTGAACTAAAAGGCTAAGTTTCAGCTGACAAAATGAAACATTAGCTCATCAGGCCTGTTCCTTAACAATGATATTCTCAATATCCTCCATGACTCCTTTACCCCAGTTATAAGATCGTACTACAGTATGGCCAAATACTTTAACCATGTATACTTTGGACTTTTGTACTGCACTGGATGCAATAAATACAAAAATCAGACTGACACTTATAATCAGACCAAACCATCCAGTCACTGAACAGCTTGCCGGTTGCTCTTTGTCATCATATGCTATCTGTGTCTTATTGACTAATTTAAACAAACCCCCTCCCTCCCCCCCGCTCCCTCCATCGCTCCCTCCAGCCGCTCATCATCATCTCCTCATACTTGTCCTCCCTTGTTGTTAATGTTTTGATGGAGTAGAGGTAGATGCTACGTGAGTGCGTGAAAGACAACAGATTTAACCGGGTCTGCCCTTTAAATTCGATGACTTGAATCATCTCAGCACCACTGCTGTTTGTCTCTGAACTCAGTTTGCATGCGTTGTGACTAAACGCTGGATTAAAGCTCACTTTTAAAAACGTCAAACATTCAGAGAAATACGCTTTGGTCAAAGATCTCATAGACAACTTGGCTAACCACCAGACCTCCTGTGACGTGCTGTTTTTCTTGGCCCTTCCCTCACCAGTGGATCAAATCATGGCTGGGCTCCATCTCCCACCACCACAGAAAAGAAAGAGAAACACAGGGGAATGTGTGTCCCCAAAGGTCGTGACTTTTCTCATTACATCGTGATGACGCAGAAAACGGCACAGAGAGCGGTCGAGACAAACGGATGATGACAGTCAAAAGGAAAGGAGCAGGAACGTGACATAGACAGAACAGAAGAAGAGTTATGGAGATCATTAGTGAAGAAAACCTAAAGTTCAAGTAAAATTATGGAGTGAAGAGCAGTAAAATAATCCTCAAAGAGGATTCAATCATCTGGAGCATGTAGGAATCTGAGCCAAATGAAACACATGCAAGTGGCTAGAACTCAAAGCTGATTTCCACATAAAATAGTAGGAAATGGTTCCAACATGACGAGATCAAATATTGTGTTGTCAAGGCATCACATGATTATTTGCTGTTGAGAAATATGTTAAATAATTTTTCAATATACTGCTGGTGTTTATATCTCTATTTTAACTGTCAGCCCATTAGACCAATGAGTTGTGGGGGGGGGGGTCATTCTATCCTTTTTTCTTTATGCATACGTTCATATTTTTGTTTAAAAGTGCGTCTTTCATCGTGATTGTGGTTGTTTTGGTCTGCTTCTCTGCATATTTATATGTTCAAGTCTGTGTTTCATGTGTTGTGCATGCACACCTAGCTTTTTCCCTTGGCGGTAACGTGGTTTATTTTCACATCCGTGACACACGAGAGGTGACTGTGTCACTCCACATAGAGACTTCAATCTGTCTGTGAGGCAGCAACACAAAAAGCTGATTCAAGTTTACAACTTGAGCGCACCAGATGAACACCATGTGGCAGGGATTAATCTGAATATTCTGGAAAAAATTGTTTTTGACACTTAAAAACCGTGACACATTCAATGGTCGTCAACTTTAACGGATAGCCAGATGGAATTGCTGAGATTTAAACATTTTTCGTGACTGACCCCTTTATTCTTGGCTGTTAAAGCATCACTTTATGTCCTGATAACTAAGAAGCTAAAACATCAGACAATAACAACCTGTCAAATACTTGTCTGGTACGAGCGTCATTTGAAGGAGGCTCTGAGTGCCTGTGTAAGTGTAGTTGTTTAACACAGCTGCAAACCTCAAACACTCTCTCCTGCAAACTGGATGCACAATTTAGGACAGTAACACAGGCCTGAGACAAGGAGAGAGACGAAGGTGGAGAGTATGTGTACGTCTGTGTCTCCGTGAGATAAAACACCCGGCGGGTCAAAGATCATCCCACCCAGAGTCTGGTCCGAGGGCTGGCAGCCTGTGTGCCCTCACAGGGTCAGACAAACAGTCGGGTGTGTGTTCTTTTCCAGCCATCGATTGGTTAAATAAATGGACAGACTCCCTGCGGTGTTGTCCATTTAGAGAGAGACAAGTCCAGTATCTGAAAGGACACTGCCGTAGGGTGGCGAATGGGCACACACACACACACACGGGTTGACGTGACTAATCACACATGCAGCTGACACAGGCTGTTACTCATCTCACACCTGTTCATACAGACAAACACTTGTAAACACACACCACATCCCCCCGTGCAGTAATTTACATCAAGTGCACCAGAGTTTGTTGGGACAGGTACAGAACCTTCACCATCAAAGTACACAGTTTACAAACATACAGAGTTTCTGTCCTGACCAGTGAGTAGTCATGTGACAAATTTGAATTTGTTTCAGCAAATGTTTAACATTTCTAATCTACTGAGTAATGACGGTCTTTCAGGTGATTTTAAGCCACTTGTCAAACCTGTTTGTATTTAGTTGGATTAGGTTTTCATCTGGTGATTTGCACATAGTATGACAGTGCTATTTGTAATGTTTATGTTCTATATAAATTCTCTTTATTTAAATTTTGTATTCTCAGTACTTTAGTTTGTGTATTATCACTTGGTACTTGTACTTTAGTTTGTGTATTATCACTTGGTTCTTGGAGCACTGAGCACTGAGCACTTCATGACACTTTTAGAATACAGCAATATACAATGAGAAAATTTCATTCAAGGACTTAAATTTACTTCACTTAATTTTTCCTTGTTGCTTACCTCTCCTCTGTGGCCCACATTGATGAAAGTACACATGGGCTGGAAGGCACCGGTGCCACAGGCCAGGAGATGAGTTCGATTGTAGGGCTGCAGCAGGCGAACGAAGTTGGCACACTCCGACTGCAAAACACACACACGCGGACATACAGACATCCAGGGTCAATCTCTTAATAAAAACATGTACAGTAGTATCTTGATCAGTATTGATCAAGAATTTAAACGTCCGATCTAAGACACCTATACACACATCTTTTATAAATGAAAGGACAGAGTGAAACAGAAACTGTTATCCAAATGAATTGATACAAATTTTTATTATGTTTTATTGATGCCACATGGTTCTAATGAAGCGCAACAAAAGAGCTTTATTATGAGTAATGTGAGCAGTTGTTCAGTTCAGTGTCTCCTCACAGGAACTGTAACTCTGGAGTTTTGCCAGAAAGACGTGTTGATGTTGTACAACAAGCTTCATCACAGTCATGTCAAATAAACATTGACCAGATGTTCATTAAACGCCACAAAACGCCTGGTCCAAATGTAAATCTGTGACATGGAATTTGACTGAGTAAAAAGATTAACACTTTTTTTTCTCGTAATTGTCCCACTTTTTTCATTGTCACATTTTTGACTTTATTCTCTTAAAATTTTAACTTAGTTTACGACTAATTTATTTCCTAGATGTGGCCACAATATTACATCAGACCAAAAAATATCTGTGTTCTATGTCCAAGATGCCAACAAGTAGACCAATAGATGGGGAAAATAAATATTTACACGTCTCTGTTACAAGAGATTCCGTGGAAGCGGCAGAAGCGATCACTTCCTCTGTCTTTAAAAGCAGCAGCTGAGGAGGAAAGGACCGGACCACTGTCATGGTCTCAAGTTACCAAGGTCAAACTAATATAAGCATCTGGTGTCTCTGTGTGTTCCTGTGCTCATGCTGACAGTAAATTGATAGGCAGCGCATTGCTGTCGTTCATTCATTTGTGTCTTGTATTTAAGATGTTTCTAGAAGTCCTGTTTTATTTGAGTGTTTTGCTTCAGTTTTTTTAAATCACACGCCGACGCTCTGACACTGTTGATCATTTTCTCGAGGGCTTCAAGGGGCCACCGTCCTGATGTAAACCATGTCACTGCACTCCACTAAACAGTCTACATCCACTCTGGACTAATGTTTCTCAGTTCAGACAAAACCAGACCAACGACAAACTAAACAAGAGACTCGTTCACATTAAGAATGTGTTTAATAAATCTTACTTAGGGACCGGTCATAAATGGACACAGAAAAAAAGGGCCGATTTCTATTATAGAAGGCGGCAAAAATTTCACCTGGTTTTTGATGGTTTGTGGCTTGAAGCTCATTCTTAGGAACTCATCCTAAATAATTTAAATCGCCTTAAATCGAAACAGTAGAAATATGCTCCAGTCCATGGTTGACTTGAATCATTAGGATGGAGAACAAAGTAGGGTTCTTTGTTCTAAGAAGAGACGTATGTGTGAGTGAACAGAGGTTGACTAAAAAAAAAAACTTCATGTGTTTCCATTCTTCTTTTCTGGGAGTCGTCTCGGAGATTTGTGTGTGGCCGAGTCGAGCAAAGAGAGAAATAAGATGTTGAAATGAGAAAATTTATCTCTGTTCTTCCACCAAGGGATTGTGGGTTTCTTACATCTGTGTGGTCTGAAAGGAGATTAACTGGCAGCTGAAGTGAGCGGTGTTAAACAGAACATGAATTGGTTCAACGGTTGTGTTTCACTGACAGACATACTGTAAGTGGGAAGTGGAAAGAGATTTTATCGTCACATCATTCTTTCAGAATTAAAAGCAGGTTTGTTGAAAACAGAAACCCAACCGTAGTAATTTATTGGCTTTCTATTATCAAGGCCAGGTTGGCTGACCACACGCCCTGCTGTCCTCTCAAAGAGTTAAAGCTTTGAAGCTGACCACAAAAACCAGAGGTGGAGGTCAGGGACAGCATGCACGGTATTTCAACCAGAATAGAATTGCTGCGTTTGGTTTGAGAGGTATCTTTGTATCATTTGTTTAAGAAAACATGAATACTGCCAATGTGCTTCTCGTTCACTGTGGTTCTGAACAATGTGAGTGTGTGACTGTAGTGGTTGTAGAGCAGGAAGTAAAAGGAAACTCCTCCCACTCAGGTCAAACTACCATCCTTTTCTTACTATTGGAATAAACCAAGTTTAGAAAAACATTTTTATGATTTTTATGTGACATGAAGATATTATGAGGTCTGATTTGTCACATTCTCCCAAACTAGGATTGTTTACTATACTATTATATAGTATTACTATTAATAATGATTTTGCATTTTATTAGTCAGCTAACGACGCCTGTCCTTTAAACTGTTACAAGCAAAACAACAATGCATTGATTACCTCTAGTGAAGGGCTAAGAGAGGGTCAAAGATCATGCTGTTCTAAAACCTGAGATATTTAAGTATAAAAAGAACATTTTAGGTATACACAGAACCTCACATTTGACTCCTATGAATAGATTTTTTTTTCAGTCGACTTTAACTTCTAATACACTTTGTGCACAAAAACAGACCTTAATGTGTTGAAAATCACTCACTGGGACAAAGTGACTGTGGAGCCATGGAGTAGAAACAAATGTCTTTGTCGTGACTTGGAGAAAAATCTTCTAAGCAACAATGAAGCCTTTATTTTGAGAAACATGAGCAGCCACCATGCTTCAGGCTAAAATACATTTTATATCACATAGCTTCATTTGTTTATGGCAAGTGTCACAGCTTGGATACAACACATGTTGAATAACCTGGATGTAGGTCCAGAGAGGAAACTGACTGGAGGTTGTGGAAAACCTTTGTCATATTGTTTCGTCTGAAGTCACAAGTCTGTACATTTTAAACCTTTGGGCATTTCTGCATAAGAAATGGGAGCCTGATACGTACTTCGCAAAAACCAAGAATGTGTTTGTTCTGTTAAGGTGGGAAGAACATTCTAGCCAAGACATTTTCTACTTCAGCAGAAGTCAATTGTTGAACTCCTGGGAAGTCCCCGTTGGACCCTCTCTCTACAGAGAGCTCTCTGTTATTGCATGGTGTGTATCAGCCTTTAGATAATGACTTTTCTCTCCGCTAAATAACCAATCTGTTTAATTTTTCTGTTTCTTCAAAGCGTTAGAATGTTGCCTGAGTTCCTTAAGATAATAATTAATATGAATAATAAATTAAACTGATCTCATGTTACACAGCTAGTTTACTTTCATGACTGTAGTTTGTTTTTCTAGTACTGGGGAAAATTCAACACAGTAGTAAAACTAATGTGAAACTAACAGCAACCGCAGTGAAGCTCCAACTCTGACGATTGACCCGGACAGGGAGTGGCAGGTTTGGACCTTTCCAGTATAAACAGCCTGAGTTCAGTGGAGACGAGTCAGATTCTGTGTAACACTAACAGGAAATGTGCACAAGTACAGGACAGAGGAGTCAACAGGATCTCCTACGCAATCAAAGAGACACAGAGACATCAGTTCAAAGCTGCAGGGGTTTGACTGTCCAAGCCTTTGGTCTCTGCAGCTGGTAGCAACAAACAAATCAGTTTTCTGTGTAGTGCACTACCGAAAATATTCAGTCGTCAAAATCAAAAAAAAAAACAACCTCAAACCTCTCCAGTGTGTCAGAGATGATTTCCATCTTAAAACCAGTGAAATACAGTACGTAACCAAAGAAAATGTTTTATGGAAAGAAAAAAACCACAGTAACATCACTTTGCATCTTGGCAAGAAACCAACATTAACCAACATCTTGGCAGAAGAACAAAGAACGTATTGGTGCAAACAGAACACCCTTGGCCTTCTGCCTTTGCAGCAGCTTTTTCCCATTAATTATATCAAACAAAATCCATTCCTGAGCCGTGAAGACAGACTGCAGTGTCATCTAGAATCTGCTGCCCACACGGTACTGTTGTTTGGGCATTAGGTCATCCTCCGCAGTTCATCAGAACAGCTTCTAATGTCATACATCAGAGTCCATTATTTATACTGAAAATAGTGGTTAGCAGTGGTTAGCACGCCTGCCTTGGAAGTAGAAGGCAGGTAGTCCTGGGTTTGATTCCCAAAGGAGCTAAATACTTGGCGCCTGCCAGGGGCAGTGTTTTGCAGCAGAATTTCCAAAGTGTGGGATCAGTAAAGTTCAAATTATTATTATTATTATTACAATAATATTATTATTATGACAGTTATTTGCTGCAACTATTGGTTTGTTTAAATTGTGTTTATTTATTTATTTTTTAATTTATCTTACTTCTACTTTGATCTACTTTACCTCTTGTAATGGAGTTTCTTGTAATGATAATTTCCCTCAGGGGATCAGTAAAGTAAATTGTGATTCTGATATAAGAATTTATCCAAAAAATATTTAGTTTTGTAAAATACACAGATTGATTATTTCACATTTTGGTATTCAGTAATGTCACCCTCTAGTTTTTGTTTAGTTTTTTGCCAATGGTAAATGTTAAAGAAATGTCTGAGTATGTTGCAGTAATATATCTTACAGTCCACCAGCCACTGCTAAAATGCAAAGACGAAGACCATAAGTGGAGAGTAGAAAAGAGAACGATTTGTTCCAATGAACACAGTTATGAGAACAAACATTGTGAAGGAGAGGAAAGTGACCAAAATGTCTGGTTCCTGTCCTAACTGTTACTGCTGTGATTAACTCTTACAACTGTAGATCCAACACAAACAAATCAGACATCATTGTTTAAGAAAAGGCGACTGTGGGATAAGACGGTCTGTCAGGGTAGAAGAACAAGACGTTGAGTGATGAAGCAGAAAAATGTGTTAACAGGCAGAACAAGAGAGAACACGCTGGATTGAAACCTCCGAGAGCCTTCCTGCCCCTACTCCCCTCCCTGTCTGTGATTCATTTGCTTGAGACTTAATTAATGATGCTGAAGGTCACAAGGTCATGACTCTGGGAGGAAGCACTATCAGTAAAAACATGTTTGAGGTGGTCCTCGGTCGTCGGTAGAAGGAGTAGAGATGTGTACTTTCATCAGGGAGATAACAGAGTTGTGTTACAAATAACTGTCGTTTGACTTTGTTTGATTTTGGTCGAGAAGGGAATTCTTCATATTTGTTGTTGTTCTTTAGTTCTAATCAGATTTTAGTCACTGTTACTCTTTTGTGCACAGTATCATCAAGCTCATCAAGATCAAAGTGAAAAAATGTCAGGACTTTTTACCTTTTAACCTCCACCATTAAACTCAGCTTAGTTCAGCACAAGAAGCAGTCATTTATCTGACAAGAACTTACGACAACAGCAAACAACTGAAGTTCAGCTTGTTCAGCCTAAGTCGGCATCGACCAATCAAACTCTAGTCGCAAATCCTTAGTTAATCAACTGTTTTTGTTTCTTTTTTAATGAAGCGTTGTGACTCCTAACGTTTTTGATCATTACAGTAGCCTGAGGGTATTGGTATATGCGTGTACTCTGTTTTATAGTCTAGTAACTGCGACATCATCAGCAGGGACATATTCAAGGCATCTATGGAAACTTCAGTCGGCCCTCGCCCCCTACTTTTCAACCTTTTTGACCTTCCTGTCCGACTGTTGTTTACCATTGCTTATTACATTATTGGCTCAAATATTATGTGTGGAGTCTTGTTTCCACTCCTTTAATATGCTGTGTTTAGACTGACCTCCTTTGGTCAGATTGTTTATTGTGAACCCTGGAGTGTTTGGTCATTTAATTTACAATGAGATAGTTCTGTAGTTGAATTATAGTTGACTTTACCTGCTGAGAGCAACCCATTCAGATTTAAGCCATGTGGTGGCTGGATGTGACCTAAACACACATATGTGAGACTGCAGGGGTCTCAAACTGAACTGAGCCAGGGGGGACTCTACCGCCACCATCTGTCCCGGGGGGACACTACCGCCACCATCATCTCATTAGGAATTCACAACAAACAGTTATCCTTATTATACAGGAAGTAAAAAAAAACAAACTAATTACACTATTGAAATAAATTATAATTGACATTTTGGTGGATATTCCCATTAATTAAGAAAAATAAAAAGTCTTGCAAGTGATGAGTCCATCAGTTTAGGTGAGTCCATCAGTTTAGATGAGTCCATCAGTTTAGGTGAGTCCATCTCACCTGACATTTATCATTTTCTACCTTTCATGGTTATGGTTCTTTTTTCAAACTCTTCATCCTTCTATTCCATCCTCTCCCCTCTTCTTCTGAAGCTCCCTTCAGGGTCTTTGGGCTCAGGAGCAGAATGCTAAGTCAGCAGCTGTTGACACTCTCTTGGGCGCAGGTTCTATTTATTACATAATGTACTTTTTCAAAGCAGAAACACTTTCACCGTGATAGTATTAAATGTGAAGGCTTAAAAAAAACGTCTTTTTTGCTACACTTTTGTACGTGTTAATAATTGAAGTGGACACCGTCCACCCTGTCCCACCCCCTACTCTCTTGCCCCTCTTCCTCCACAGACCAGTAAAGCTCTGTCTTTACAGTGTTGCGTTGCTCTCCTCCAGTTCGTCTCTCCTTCACCTTGAACATTAAAGCTCCGGCCATTATATAATCTCCTAAGTGCTGTTATGGACCTTATTAGAGGCCGTGCTGAGTTTGGCAACTTCCTGTTCCTTTCTCTTTCATGTGCGAGAGCAGAGAGGAGACCAGGTGCCTCAGGGTAGGAAACTGACGAGTCAGCGCAACACTCATGTCGCTTAACTGATTAAGTGAGCCATTTACAATGTGATGCTGAAGGCACTTTCCATCATATGAAAAAAAAAAGAATCTTCTGCTCCTGTCCATAAATACCAGTGAATGTAGGCTGTTCCTGAAATGCATTCAGGTCGGAGTGTGTGTTTTGTTACTGCTCTTGTTTCCACTTACAAAAACATTGGTTTTTGTTATGTAACTGGTCAACCTAGTTGTAACATGTCAGCAGAAGAAGAAGACCTTTTTTTAAGATATTTCTCAAATGTTATGACAAAACATTGAAGTCTGTTCAATCAAAATAAAGAATTGAAAATTCTTTAAATTAAAACTACATTCACGTAAGTACAGTAGAACTAAATATTGAAGTTTAGTTTAGCAGAGATGTGAACTAATCCTATACTGTAAGTGACGCCATTGAAATTCAACAAAATTTGTTTTGAAACACGATACACAGACAAGTCACGGTCATAAAAGGTTCAGAATCCTACTATATTGTAAATAGATTTAATTTAAGCATAAAGTATAGTTTCAAAAGTCATAGTCTGCATATGTTTTCATTTTCTGAAACCCAGCTCACCTGCTCCTTCCCCGTCTCTATGCAGTTCTCCCTGGTGCCAGGTAGAGGAGGCCAGTTAATCTGCAGAGAATAAAAAAAGAACACAGAACAATGAGCATAAAGAAAGGGAATTATGGGATGATTTATAACCTCATAACACAAGGAATAAACCAATGAGACCAATTATACTACAAATGTAATTACAACACAGGCCGTTCATACACTCACAGCAAAATCAATCACCGCACGTGTCATTAAATCTGAATTATTCTCTCTGTGACTCAAAATAAAAATAATTAGAGGCAAATTGAGCAGAGCAGATTCCTCCCACATGGGAGTGAGCTTTGGCTGGTGGAACTGAAACTAGGATAAGGAGATGACAGATATATTTGTCACTGATGATCAACTAGCATTAATAATATCATGGGTGTAGCCCAGCAGGGTGGTGGTGAACTTCAGGAGTTGTGAAATAAGTCTTAGGTCTGCAGGA